AAAAATACAAATTGCTGCACTTTATCTCTGTTACTAATAAGAACAATGTTGTTTAAAGAAGCACCATGGAAGCACCATGGAGATGACCTGTCTCTTCTAAAAATGCTTCATCTTTCCTTTCTAAAGTGACTCTGCAAGTGGCACAGCACCATCTATGCCACTGATGCGGCATCGAGCCCCTCTTTTTATGATATTTCAGCCTGTTTCCAGAACTGTAATTCTCTAATGAGCTCAGCGTTGCTTTAGTGCCATGTTTGAAGCACGCAGGAGTAGGTGTTGTTGGGTGAGGGAGGCGGGTGTGTGTCATCTGTGCTGCTTCTAGAGCATGGAAAATAACCCTGGATGATATTCACAGCAAAAAGCAGCATATCGCAAAGCCCGGTTGCTTTCTGGGGACAGCGTGAGAGAGAAATGGGTGGAGAGCTGAAGGACACGCTTGAGCTTGGAGGTTGCTGAGAACTTTTATCAGTGGGGCCTGTTCTGAGTCTGCGGGCTCCCACAGGGTGAAGGAGGCAAAATGAGTCAACTAAGAGCGCACTATTTATAACCTGAAAAGATCAGCCTTGCTGAAGAACCCAGAGGTCGCAGGGTGTGCAAACTCACCACAGGGAAACCGGTCCCTCATCACCGTCACCACCAGAACCCATTTGGTCTGCTGGGAAGCAACGCTTGGGGATCAAGGTCTGGTACACCCCAAAACGCCCCGGAGCAGATGCACGAGTGTCCCTCCTGGTAGGATGTGTCTCCTGGTGCTGGTCCTGCTGTGCGGATGCAACTCGTATCCATCACAGCTCAACTTTGGAAGGGGAGAACGGGAGGATTTAGCCAGCAGAGGGCAGGTGGCAATGCAAGAAGAAGGCGCTGGAGGTGCACGGTGGCCTGCAGACGTTCAGTTCTGACATCATGGCCATTTCCCAAGCTCATCGTGTCACCGCACGGCGCGCGGAAGTGAGTAACGCTGCAGGAGCAATCATGGGAGCAATTAATTATGTGTTGGTGAGAACCCAGTGTTGCCTCCCCTTTGCTTCTGCTGCTGGCTCCTCTGGTCCTGTTGCTCTCTTCAGCGAGCTGCAAGGACCGTAGCTGCCTTTGCACTTATCCTAGGGCTTGCAACAGCAATAGCCCTCTCGTTGGTTCATGGGAAGGGCATCTTGTCCATGTTTCAGAAGGTAGTTTGGTTCCCATGAACTTTGCACATGCTACGATCCAAATCCAGTTGCACTTAAAGCACTTGCAACATCCAAAGGAGCGGGCACTGCAGTCCTTGGGCAGAAGGATTGCAGTTTGGCTGTTGGTCTAAGTCACTTACTCCTTCAGAAATAATGGGCAAGGAAAAAGACCTGATTTTGTATCCAGGGAATGGCTGCTATTCCGGCTATTTGAGAATCTAGCCATGAGTGGCTGAATCATCCCACCTCAAGCGGCTGGAGGGTAATAGTCACATGAGTTATAGAGTATCTGGAAAATTGCTGTGTTGCATCTCTGCCTTGTAATGATTATCTAATCATGGTGTTTTCCGGGTGACTACAGGAAATGAGGAACAGTGCAAAGTTATTGCCAGGCAGATCCAGAGTGTCAAAGAGAAAAATCGCAGGGACTTTTGGTTCCCAAAGTCAGTCTATGAAAATGGGCATCATGCATTGGACAGGAGTCACTCAAGGGGCAGAGAGTGGGGTTCTATCAGAAGCAGTTTCTCTCTAAACAGGTATTGAACTTACCTTAACGGGCGTGTGTTGGTCTCTTGTTTTCATTGCTGGATTTCCACACTTCACCAAACTCCTAAACGTAATGAGGCAAATGTTGCTAACATTTATTTGTGATAAAAATGTTGGTAAATGTGATTATTGGAAGACTCTTCACCATGCCTCAAGAGAAGTCTTGAGACTGTCTGATAGAAAGATCTGGAGAGGGACAATGTGATTGTCTCACATGAGTTCCCCCCAGCTTCCCTGGTGCCTTGCCGAGGCTCTTTCCTTGCAGTATATAATATATACTTTGGAATTTAAGTAATCCAGTGCAACAATGAGAAGACTTTAGAGTGAACACCTGATCAGGCAGCCAGTTGCACGTGAAGCCAGACAAATAAGAGAGCTCCATGAGCTAGCATGGGAAACATCCCTTAATGACACTGTTTACCACCCAAGAGCACCTGGTCTCCTGACTGGAGCACTGTAGGATCAGAAAGTGATGTTAGCCAGAGGCCAGGGAATTTTTTTTGCAGGAAAACTCAGTCACTCCTGTGTGTCTCCATTTCTTTTCTAGCTGATGAACAGCTAGAAGGTGGGTGAGCTGGACCTGGGCCAAAATTTGCGGAAGCTGGGGAGAAAGGGGGATGTTTCCACCGGATTTCAGTAGTTTAGGAGCAGATGTATGAACTTAAGGGCTGATGGAGAACAAGGTTGACACAATCTTCCTCTCGTGGTGAACACCGAATGCTGGGCAGGCTTCCTGTTCCATGCTGTGCAAGGGTGTTTGGCTGAGTTAGGTTTGTGCTTGCCCAGTTAAAACAAGCTTATCTAGCCTTAGTCACACCTTTCTTCTCTGCCGCAAAGTAGGTGTAGCTCCACGAACCCAGCAGAGATGGCTCTTCCAAGGAGGAATAACACTTGTACTTGAGTTTTGTCCTGCAAAGGTTGAGTCCAGGCAGCTGGATCCCTCTGTGGTTCTGCAGCAACTGCTTTCTCGGTCCTACCAACATGTTGCAGAGTTTCCTGCAGGACAGGAAGGTTCGTGGAGGCCCTGGGGCTTCACATAGGGCCTTGGGCAGCAGTCTGACAAAGTAGGAAAGCAGCTATAAACAGTTGTCAAAACATAAACAAGAGGTGGCATGCCCAGAAACGGGCTAACTTTGCATGAAAAGACAGGGATCAGGGTAAGCACGTTGTCCTTTGCATGGTGTTTCTTCTTAGCCACCTTTATTTGGTGGTTTTAGTGAGGAACAATGAATAAAGGAAAGGCTTTGAGGGAACCATGGTGTGTTTTTATTACTCTATGCTGTATTTGCATGTGTATTGCAAACTCAAGGGAACAACAGTGCCGATGAACTGTTCCTGCTCCGTACGCCTGCGTCTCTAAGTGCAAACATGATAATTTGTGCTCCCACGGCTCGCTGCTGCCTATTCTCTGCGATCCACCCAGGACCAGCTGCAGCTCCTGGCATTCTCCCTGATTTCCTCTGAGCAGAAGATAAAAATAACACCCGCTCCCACCTATTCCCGGGAGCAAAGCCCTGATCCCACCGCAGCAGGGTGGGAAGTCTCTGCACACTCCAGCCTTGCAGACCTCAGGTTCCCTTGGCAAGGCAGGGTCTTGCCGGTGCATGAAGGGTTGAACGTGGCCATGCCTTTTTCCTTAGAAGATGAAAAATGCAAGATTATCAAAATGTGAAGCAGTGTTGTTCCACTGACTGCTCCACAAGAGGATCCCAGCTGTACCCAAACTGTTGTTTTTCAGTAGTAGCTACAAACTGGCTCTGTTGCCGAAATATCGTTAATTTGGAGCCCAATTTAACAGCACTTATGCGAGTGACTAAGTGAGCAGGACTTTTAAAAATTTCATTTACATCCACTCAGCAAAGATCCTGCGCTGGCAGCTGTAGACACATTTGCTCCCATCCTTCCTGATGCCTGAAAAGCAGTATAAATAGAGGGGGGAGAACCATATGCTGCTGTGGGATGCTCGGTGTGATGGATGACTTGCTATATGCACAGCCCATGGATGGAGTCACGGTGCTGCAGTGCAGATCTGGGAAGGTTTTCCTTTAATCTGCCTTGTCCCTTGATGTTTTGGGCTCCAGAGAAACCCTTGGTGCTCATCTAAATTTGCTGGAGGAAAAAACTCCAGCACAGACACTGTGGAAGGAGCAGTTCAACCCACTTATAATCCTAAAACTATTTTAAAATGTAGCTAATTTCAGCACATTTTGTTATTCCAAAAAGCCTACTTTTGGATTTCAGCTGTCTAAAACTGAACACCACGATTTGGAGCAGCCAAAGCAAAATGTATCCAAATATCCTGCAAGTCTATGGGATTTAGACCCTTCCCTGTCCCAAGACACTGACATGGTTCCACACATCTCTAGGGAGGTTTCTCAGCAATTTGTTAAGAAATTATACTGCCCTGAAAATACCCACAGATCATCCTGTGTCCTTTTCTGAGAAATGGAACAAGGAAGGGTATTTTTATTTGCCAACAGTTTAAAACTAGGTTAAACCTAGAGTGTTTGTCCATTGCTGTTGTTTTCCCCCATCTGCTTCCTTATCTGCATGTGAGTATATGTGTTTTTATTTCATTTTTGTGGCCTGTGGTCTGATGCCTGTGAACCATTAGAACAGGTTGAATCATGTTTTCTTTGTCAAGTACTACCAAAAGCTGCAAGAATGAAATTTCTCCTCCTTAACAATCCACCCAGAGCTATTTCAAACTACTCTATAGGATCTTGAAGCAGACATAAGATTGTACGAGTGGTTCAGCTGATTTATAAACAGCTTTCACGCTTTCAAACTTTAACTGCCCCATGAAAACATGGCCAGTGTATTTGCACAGAGCATTTAAAACCGGACTAGCCTTTAAAGAATAATTTAAAATAGTTTAAAAATAGGCAAAGAGCTGTCAGAATTTACTAGAAAGCAGAAGGCATTGCCCAGTCCTAAGAAAATGAACAAATAAACATTTCTCATCGTCGCCTCCGTACGGCGTACAGCACAAGCGTGTGTTTTCCGTAGTACTATTCCTTATCAATAGCATTCCAGCCTGCCCTGTTTGTCATAGAAACCGGCCCGGAGTGGAAATGCACTTGCAGCCAATGAATGATTCAGTGGTAATTGGGAAAGACTGGTGGGGCAGGTAAGTCACCTCTAGACAGGAAGGTATAAAAGATACTGGAATTACGGTGGCAGGGCCACTTTTACACGGGAGCTTTTAGAGGTGGCTGCTCTTGCTAGACCGACGGTGCTTGGGAACAAATCGGAGAGCTGCTGGGGAGCTTGGATGCCAGAAGAAGGCTTATAAATACAAAAGAGCCTGAGCTTGACTGTCCTCTGGAGAGAAGAGCCTTCAAGGGCAAAAATCAAGAACGCAGAATATGCTTTTCTCCTTCTAAACTTCACTCTGAACAGGTATTTATAGAGTTTAATCTGCTATGCACCTCTTAACTTGCTGGCTATTTGGTTGCTCTGTATTAAAGATACCATTAGGGAATCATATTACAGAATATTGTTGGCCACTGCCTTAAGAGTGTGTGGTCCCTTGGATTTTATGGTGTGGAAAGCAACTTCTAGAACCTGCATGGAAGTGAAACCATTTAACATAATGCCTAGCAGAGTTAAACAAGCCTATAGTGTTGAATCTGAGGTAATGCATCTCTTCTGAACATTCTTGTTATGCACTGATGTTCCCAAAGTTTCTGGAAAGCCCGGATTTGCAGGGAGGTAACTAAGTGCAGGTTCTATGGAAGTGCAATGACAGTGGGGAGGTCTGCCCAGGAGAACATATTGTATTAAAAATAAAATCATGTGGCAGCACACTGAGGAGAATGGAGGCAGCAAGCTTGAGGAGAGGCTTCGCAAAAAATCCCCATTTACAAGGAGACAGGAAAAAGGAGTCAGTAATTAAACCAAGAGGCAAGTTGTGGTCACTTTAATGACAGATGGCCAAGGTTTGTCTCCTAAGTGTAGTGCTTAAAGATAATTTCATCTCGGGCTATGCTGGATCTGATGGGAGAGGGGAGAACACTTTATTCTCAAATAGTAGAAACTTTTCTTTTGTGCAATGTGAACAATATGCAGCCTTTTTGGGATCCTAAATAAGGCATTTTTTTTCTAGAAATCTCTAGCCAATGCTGGTGAGCCTCTGACTGACTGGAGAGCTATAATTACAGCAGCAATCTGAGCGCTTCTGGCTTGTCATTGGTAAATCTCCCAGAGCGAAGAATCAAGCCCAGCCAGTTCAGTGACATATCCTAAAGAAATGCTCCCCAGGTGTGCAGCATCCTGGCCACTGCTGGGGACTCCTTCCAGCTAAATGCTTATTTTTAGTTGAAAACAGTAAATGCACAATATTTGAACAGCCAGGATGGTGGCTCTGAGTGCTGCAAAGGTTTGAGTAACCTGGTTATAAACCAGCTTGCTGGGACCCGTATCTTAGCCACGCAGCTCAAAGCTCCTGCTTGCAGAACCTTCCCAAAGCAGAAAGCACCTGGCAGCACCGTGCAGAGCTTGGGCCACTCTGCCAGGGCTGAGGACACGGGAGAGTTTTGCTTCCTTATGGAAACCAGAGCAACAAGGAAGTAGTGAGGAATTCCCCTTGCTCTGGTACCCAAGGTTGTTTCCTCCAATGGTGCTTTTCTTGCTGTGTCATGGTGACAAGGTAGAGATGCTTCTTGCGCTCTTTGTATGTAGAGGGGGCAGAGGATGGACCAAATTCCATAAGGTGTCAGTGCTTCCTCACCTTCCTTGTGTCCTCCTGAGGTACGAGGCAGCCTACAGAACCACGATTCAATAAATAAAGCTCTGTCTCAGCACAGCAGAGAGGAGAGAGGTCCACCCCTCTTCTGTCTCCTCAACTCAATAGCGTTATCTGTCTCTTAGGCCTTGCTCATGCTGCCACCATAATATCTGAGAGCCTCCCAGACTAAAAGACTGCCATAGCGAGGTCCCTACTTGACCTCATGGAGTCTTCTGCTCTTCTCCCTTCTCCGGTGTTGGGAAGCACCAGCCGGGGTACGTTGTTGTTGTGTTATTTCTTCTGCCCCGAGGGAGGTATCCGTAATGCCAGGGTGGTTCTGGTGGAAAGGCTTTGGCTGGATGCTGGATCTCTGCTGGCTGCTTGTTCCTTTGCGGGGCCCTCACCCTGCAACTTCAAAGAGGCTGCGTGTGTCACTGTCACCTCTAGCAGGGTCGCTCGCAGGCTCAGGACACAGGGAAGCTGTGAACTTGCTCTTTAGCCCTTCTAAAGAATTCTAAAAAAGGCCCGGCGATGGATGACCTCACATTTATTGAAAACTAAAGCTGTGGTTTTCTTCTCTTCCAGAGTTTCCCAGAGCTCTGTTTATTTCCTCAGGCTCCGTCATGTCCTGCTTCACCCACCTATGGCATTCCAACACACCGGACTCTCCCACCAGCCCTGACCCTGCGTCTCCCAGCGAAATTCCCATCCCCATCAGCCCCATTGTTATCACGTCCCCGGGAGATGGCAAGAGGAAGCCCAGGTCCCCAACGGACAAGCCTGGCTCTCCCAACCCAACGTCTCCCAAGCCAACGTCCCCCGTCGAATGCTCCATCTGCTTCAACACCTATGACAACACCTTCAAGACGCCCAAGCTGCTCCAATGCTCCCACGTTTTCTGCCTGGAGTGCGTGGCTCGCCTGAGCACAGGGCTACCCCCGAACCAACCTGAGGACCAGCTTCCATGCCCCTTCTGCAGGCAGCTCACCAGCATCCCTCTGGAAGGGGCTCCAGCTCTGAAGACCAGCAAGGAGCTCCTGGCCACGCTGCCCCCCGAACTCCAGCAGGAGAAGGTGCTCTGGATGGAAGGGACCAAGCTCTGCTGCCGCCAGACATCAGATGACCCCGAGAACCCGGACTCGTGCATCTCCATTGACGTGGCCATGAGCAAGCCCGAGGCTCCGGAGCCCCCTCCGGCAGGGCTAGCCGGGAGGCTGTCCCGCTGCGACATGTGTGACGACTGGAAACGCATCCTCCTCCTCTCTGCGCTCATCATCATCATCTTCTGCATCATCCTGTGGCCGGTCCAGTGTGCCCTGAAGACTGGGAACCTCCGCTGCTTCACGAGAACTGTTGCAATGAGCAGGCCGGACTATCTCCCCCCTAAACCCACCACAGCAGCAGCGCCTGTGACACAGCCACACTTCCAGTAGCGGCGATGAGGCAGAGCTGTCACCTCCGTCCTGGCCCTTCAGGGACACCAGAGCCTCGGAAACCCACGCACGGGGTTTATAGGTCTGCTCGGGGGGACACCCAGGTCTCCTCCTGCCTGGGCTGGCTGCCCGGGACGTGATGGGCTGCCCTTGCACCTCGACGGATCCACGCGGTTATTCCGGAGAGCTGGGCTGGGGAGGGTAAATCCATTCCAAAGCTGTGTAAGCCGATAAAAAACCAACCTTATTCCACATACTTGAAGCATTTCAGTTGTGTTACCCAGGGCTGGCGGCGTTGAATGCTGCTGTTGCAAGGTAGATGTTATTGCTCCCCACCTCCGGGCACTACTGAAACACTGAGCCAGGCTGCTGTTTTGTTCCTAAGACAACATTTGAGTGCTCATCCCTTGCCCAGAAAGGGGAAGCAACTTCCTTTTGAAGAGACAGGTACACCCTGACACAGCCTTATAAACCTCCCTCCAAGTTCCAGTGTTATTTAATCGTTGGACTCTACCCTTCTCCTTGAGAAACCATTGCCAAAATGACCCAAGTTCCATCTTTTGACAGCTTCACGCTCCTGACCTTTAAGGGTGTCAGTATTAAGACACAGGCCAGTTGCTTACACTGTAATTTTTATTTAATGCAGTGACCTTCCAGCAGTGATTGGACCAAGGTCTTCATGAACAAGAATGCTTACAATTACTATAGCTTGTTTATCCCAACACAAGGATGTAAGGCAGTATTGTATGCAAATCCTATACCTGTATTTATTAAATTATGTTTCATATAATGCACAGTGTCAATTTGTAGCATTTACTTCATGTTGCCCCTCTTACTTTCTAGTGGAGACATTTCCTTAGGAGTCCTGAGTCCAGCTGCATTCCTAGATCACAGCAGCTACAGCCATGGCATGTCCATAAACCTGCACAAGTGAAGATCTCTGTCCCGTTAGTTCATATTTACCATCACCCAAGCTGTGCTGGGCCAGGTGCAACTTTCCCCTGCAATTAACCTGATTTGACCTGAAAAAATGGGCAGCCACAGAAACTGCCCATTTTCACTTCTTCCAGCTGGTTGAAAAGCAATTCCAGCTTCCAGCAAATCCGTTGCTATGCAAAACATCGGTGGAAAACTGCCACTACCCAGAATATCTTCCCAGCACCAGCTGAAGTGGGTTCTTGGCATAAGTGACTTGCCAAGGCTCGAGGCAGAGAAGGCACTTCCATTTTACAGCAGGTCCATCTGAGACTAAACCCAGCAAATTGACTCTAGAAGAGCTGGAGTGCTTTGTTAGACACATCTTGGCTACCCCTTCAGCTCCCATTGGTGAGACTTAAGGGCAAGAGGGAGGCAAATAAGTTTCTCTGCATCTTCAGTGCAATAGCCTTATAAAAACTAATACATCTGGAGAGGATCAAGGGCCACGGGGGCTGTTCTAGGAGTCTATCAAAGCATCCGCACAGGGGGTTGGCTTCTGCACTCCCCCTTCTCACTCTGAGTGCTTGAAAAAGGTTGGCAGTTCATCCATCCTGCAGCTGAACCCCCCACTTGTGCTTAGTCCAAAGGAAGGTTCAAGATAAATAAAAGCAAGGCCCTCAACCACCACATCTAGGGCTGGGAGACATTCAGGATGCCCATATGCTGTCTGTCTGCCACTTTCCCAAAGAGCAAACTACTTGAAAAGAAAGGAAAAAAGGCTGCAGAATATTCAACATTTATTAAAAGTGCAATAAAAATAAACAGTTTCCTGTCCCTGTGACAAACGACTGGGAATGCCAGCCAGAAAATACAGCCAAGGTTCGTCGTTGTGCTTTTGGTTGGATCCCTTCTGCTCAGCACTGTGGGCACCGTTGCCCCTTACCATGCCCTGCCAGAGACCCAGAGGGACTTTAACACGATCCCCCCATATGCTCTGGACACCAATACTCAGACCCAACGTTCCCCTTCCAGAAAGCCACAGATCCTGCAGAAATGGCATTCTTTGGCAGCGTTAGCTGCAGGCCTGGAGGCTGGATGAGCAAGGAGCACTGCTGGTCTGAAGTCAAGAATTACCAACAGAAGTGGAAAACTCCGCTCAGCAACACGCACATCTTCATGGCGCTGGCCACATCGTGAGTGTTTACAGCACCCCTGGGTAGACCCAGTGCTCGTCTTGTCAGATATTTGCAGGGTGGGGGGGAAAAAAAGGCCATGCAGCAAGGCAAGAACAAACCTGCACCAAATTTAGAGGAATCTAGTTCAAAAACTTCAGCTCAGCCTAGAACCCAGGCGTGCACGACTTGCTAGAGGCAGCTAAGCACAGCACACAGTCCAGGCTGCTTCCCTGCTCTTTAGGCACCTTCAAAATGGGATTTCAGAGCCACCTCAGACTCAGGTCTGCTCCATCCTGCCGGGAACCCAACAATCTCCCAGGCACTGCAGTACTATTGCACACTGTGCACTTTGGAAAGGTTGCATAGAAAGCTAGAGCTGGAACAGCTAAAAGGAAGCGTGGAGAGGACAAGAATCAGAAGTGCAATAGCTGGGCCCAGCCAATACTCTCTATTTCTTTCACTGGCAGCAAAGTTACTCCAGGATTTAGTCAAAAAATACTTCTAGCTTAGAAATGATTGACCTAAAGAAACATTCAAGTGAACTAACACTTTACTAATGCCCTCAATGGGCAACCCTGGGAACACTCCTAAGCAAATAATCATTTCCATTCCATGTAAAAAATAAGAATCTTAAATTAAAAAAAATTAAAATTGAATCTTGATGCCCTATGAATGTCCAGAGGCACTTCCATATAAATATCAACCTAGTAAACAGGGGAGGACGGGGTAAGTTCTGTCTCATGACTACGTTGGCGCAAGGTGTGTTCTTAAGGCGTAGGCTCCGTTTCATTCGGATGCAGTCAGCTTCTTCCTTCCTCACTGAATCCAAGGTGCTTGGAGAAGGCAAGATAGGCAAGAAAAAACAAAATTGTCCACAGTGGCAGAACTTGGAAAGGGTGGATGTAAACACTGTAAATCCTGCACTGCAAAGCAAGAAGGAAGGAGAACGTGGTTAAAACCATAAAAAGGGCACTGATACGGCAGAGCTGAGACATTCCCAACACATGGAGTCTCTCCTACTTGTCTGTAGATGTAGCACATATCTCAGTCTGCCAGCTTGCTAACAACGCTCCAAAAAACCCAGATCTTTCCTCTAGAAATAGTAGCATTTTTTAAAATGAACCGATTTTCTTAATGAGGTCTCACCAGCCCATTTTTCCCCCTTTTCTCCCACCAGCAGCTGGCCACAGCTCTGCCCAATTTCAAAGCTGACCTCCCTGGTGCAGGCAGAGCCTCCGCAGTCCACGTACCCTGAGCTGCAGAGCATCAGGGATAAACGTGGTGTAAACAGGCTGCAGTGACATCCCGGTTAATCGAGGGCAGCATTCCTACCTGCACAGGCTCCGCACAGCTCACCTCCGGCTCCTTTATCGCCCCGTGTTACTCATCCCTGAAACCTTTGGGCTTTTGATGTTCAGGTTCTCGTACACGGAAGCTGACTCATCATCAACCCTGTCGAGAAACAGAGCCTTGTTGTTAACATCCTCGCTCCTCCGGATCTCCTCCCAGAGCCTGGCCAGGGGAATGGGCCAACCAAGCTCTTTTTCCTTCCCCAACCCCATAGATAGGATTAGCCACACTGCTCTATGCTGATTTTTCCCCCTCTACAGTGGTTAGATCCGTGGGAGTTGGGAAGCTCACAGTGCCCGGAAGGATCCGGGTGTTTTGCGTGTTCAGCAAGAGCCAAGCGGCCCCGTTCCTGCCTCCTGCTGCCCTCTCCCGGCTTTCCAACCGCAGCTCCCGAGCTCCCCCGAGGGGAAAAGTAGCGTTTGGAGTAGGTGATCTTATATAAGGAACTTGCATAAAGTTCCTCTCTTCTCCAAAAGCTGCTGCAAAAAATCTAACGTAAGCAAGAGAGGCTGGTACCATCTCTGACAACGCGGTGGGGTCACTTTTAGCCTTTCTCATCTCATATAGTCCAACATTGGACTGTGCTCATGCTAGTCTCTCCCCTGCCATGGAAATCCTCAGCTTTAGTACAAAAACATTCAGCTTACGCAGCCTGGGCTCTGGGTGAAGGGGGCTGCCCTTTGGCTCTGCCTTTTTCCATAGGAGAATATCCAATATTCAAGTAGTCTCGCTCTTTCCTTTTACTCCGCTGAAAGAGAAAGCAAAGGCAATGAAAGTCTACCCAAAGTGGAGAGAGAAGACGACCTTCATGGATCCAAAAGCCGTCTGGGAAGCAGTAGGTATGGATCTATTTCCATGAGTTGAGAGTATTGAGTTGCAGGAGGAACATGGAAGTGGTCCTTGGTGCAGAGCAAGCTCTGCAGCTGTTTTTCCAGGCAAGCTGAACGGGACTCACCTGCTCTTCTTCCAACCTCTTCTGCTCGGCCTCGATGTACTGCTGAACTGCCATGTAAACAAACTTGTACTGAGCCTCTGTCTGCACCATGCCCGAACGCTGCCGTCGTACCATCTGGATGGTCTTGGGGATGTCGATGTCACAGTCTAAACCTGCTCGAGAGAAGGAAAGAGAGAGATTGGGGAGCGGGAATGAGGCTGGAGAAAAAGCTATTAAACAGGGAGCCATACCTTGCCTATGGATAATATCCACCAGAATATCTATCACTATGATGGTGCCTGTGCGTCCTATTCCAGCACTGGAGAGAGAAGAGGAAAAAAAACATTACAGGAGGAGAGTGTCCTCGGAGCAGCTCAGCTCCCACGTTCAGCTGCAAGTCTGGTCCATCCCTGGGAGGGCTGCTGAAGGATGAACTGAGCCAAAAGCAGAGATCTAGTAGGACCTAGTAGATCAGGGTCTAGTAGGCTTGATCACGGCTGCCGCTGGTTCCTACCTGCAGTGAACGATGATGGGCCCCGTGTCAGGAATGCTCCGCTGCGCCCGATTCACTTGATCCAGAAAGCTCAAGACCCCTCCTGGCTCATTGGGCACCCCGTGGTCCGGCCAGCTGAAGTACTGGTAATGCTTCACCAGCCGGGGACGCTCGTCCTGCGGGAAGCAGAAGCCCATAGCTCCGTCAGAAACCCAACACCAAGTTGCATCTTCCTGTCCAATTAACAAAGCTGGTGTAAAACAGGACAAAACCTAAGCAATGGGACCATGAAGCAAAGAACGAGCAGCCACAGCTCCCTTCCCGCTGGCATCCCGGTGGCAGCCGAGCGCTCACCCGGTCCGTCCGCGCGATCTCCAGCTCCCGCAGGTAGTAGCCCTGGGCCTCGCGCTCGCTCACGTTCCTCACGCAGATGCACCCGTACTCCTTGGTGCTGCTCTTGTCCGGCCAGTAGCGGAAACACTTGTTCTGCAGGGACACGGCACAGCGGCTCCTTAGTCGGGTGTCAACCCCCAGAGTGAAGGTTTAAAGCAGGGTCATACCCAGAGCGTTTCCTTGGATCTGGGGCTGTCCTGGAAAGGGCCATTCTGCTATGAAGTGATCCTTAGGGAACGCTCCAGCTAGCCCGAGCCTCACGTAGACATTGCTTTGCCACAGCAATTATCCAGGCAGGATAATAAACCTAGCTTGACTGCTCAGGGTTAATTTCATCACTGATTTTGTTTCACATGTTAATGAGAGCCCTTAGTAGCAACCTCATTTGGTGCATGTAGCAGCTTCTGCTTCAAAACTTTCAGTTTTGAAGTCCTGAACAACTAGTCCTTGTGTCCAGTCTAACGGGTCAGTGCAAGGAGCAGGGGACACTGGGGCTTGGGGACCGTGCCCGACGTGCTCACCCTGCCCCGCTCCACTTCTTTGGTGGTCATGACGATGACGTGGCTGTTCTCCTGATACACCATGGCCCAGAAGTCATTCACTGTTGTCTGCAGGCAGCCCTGGGTGGCTATATAGACCTTACTGTGCTCCGAGTTCCTGCCGTCTTCAGGGATGCCCTGAGGAGCAAAGGAGAAGAAAAAAAAATAGCCAATAATCCAAGAAAAGACCTTCATAATGAGCTGGCAACCTGAAGGTTTCCCAAAGGGTGGAGCAGCAGTGCTAGAAATTCAGCTTCAAGATGCTCTTAGCTTATAGATGATGATTATGGTTTGACCTTAGAGCTAATGGGCAACAACAGAGAGCCTGGGTCTACCCCTTAGGACTGCCTGAACGAGTAAAGAAAGGAGGGAACCAAAATAAATTCTTAAGTCAAGGGAAAACAGATGAAATAATGAAATTCCTTGGGACACAACAGAAGAAAGATCAACCGCTTGACCTGGACCCAATGGTTCCTGACAAGCTGATGCCTTCAGACTCACGGTGTCTTTGCACACCCTCCCCACAAAAAACATGGAATTGAATTGAAGGCAACCCCCAGACACCATCTCCCCCTTCCCAAGTACCTTGATGTAGTTGGCGTTGATGTAGTCGGAGCCAGGCACGCTCTCATCAACGTCTCGGAGCGCCACGCGCGTGGTGTCAACTGAGCAAAACCAGAGTCCACAGTGAACACAGGGGCACGACTGGGGTTTGCTGAGGCCACGGCGCGTGTGGTGGCTCCCAGCAAGGCTCTTACCCACGTTGCATGGGTGGCTATTGCAAAAGAGGCAACGCGACACTTCCATAATGACACTTGGCAATATCCACACTGCCTGGCACGCAACGATGCTGTAATCTAGTAATTTGGATGGAAAGTCGAGTAATAAACAGCCTTCCAGACCAAGCTCAGCTTAAGTTCCTCAGTGTCTTCTTTGGGAGCTCTCGCTCCATATAACTTTAACTAAACCTGAGCTCTGAAGCGTATTTGGACTCATAAAGTACAGAGCAATTTACTGGTTTCCTAGGCAAAAGGGAAGGACAAGGATAAAAAGGGGATGGAGAAGGCCATGAATTAACTGGAATGCTCCAGCAGGACTGTGCCAACATCCAACTCAGCTATGAGCAGAAAGGTTTGACCAGAGGGAGCTGCAGGAAATGCAGTCGAGGAAAACAAAGCAATAACAACAAAAAAAAACCAGCGTCTCCTTACAGGGAAGGATGTTCTTGTAGCGATTTTTTGCCTTGTTCTCTGGCCGTTGTCCCTCCTTCCTGGGGTAGAGGAGCTTGCACTCCTGCTGCTGGAGCATCTGTTGGAGCAGAGCACACATGAACAAATGGTTCTGAGCAGACAAGTCAACTCGGGGCCAAAGGCAGAGGCTTTTTTAGCTAACTGCTAGCTTCATAATGCAGAGAAGAGCAGAGAAAGGAAGCCAGGAAGCAGCTTGGTGGAAAAATTAATGCGGGACAGAAGGCACAGGGTGTTGTAGGGAACGAAAAGCACACAGGAGAAGGAGAAACTGCCTCAGACATGAGAAAAAACAATGAAAAAAATAGGGGGAAATAATTCAATTAAAGAGAAAAAATAAGGAAAGAAGGAACAGTGTAGAGAAGAGGTCCACAGACTGGAAAACCATGGTGCTCCTGTGAAGATAATAGCAGCTGCTCTCCCAGGACAGGGCTCAGCAGCATCCCGTACCTCAAACTCTTCCCAGAAGCCTTGCTTGGCCTTCTCGCTGTGATCTGCCATTTTGTTCAGCTCCTTCACTCTGTTCTCAATATTGGCTGCATTAATACGCGTGGCGTTGAATGGCTGAAAGACAGGAGGCAGAAGTCACTGTCAATAGTGAAAAGAGAACTTTTCCCTTGAAAAATAAATTATTGAGTGCCTGGGAGTGTTGGCTGGAGTTGGGTCCATCCCTGAGGCCTTGAGTATGGGACCAGGGACTTTGCTTCCAACTGTGAAGCTGGACAAGCCCAAAAGACAACCAATGAGAGGTTCTGGGGGCAGGAATTTCCCAAAGAACAGGGCTGGATGTGCAGACTCCTGCAAGAGTGTGGCCCCAAACCCACAACTTTATGTTACAGGAGCTATTACCTGCTTCAGATGAACCACAGCTCCAGATTTCTCCACCATTGGGTTTTTCTTGTAGTGCTCCACCAGGTCCGTGAGCGTGTCGAACCTCTCTCCTCCTCCCACATCGTACTTCCCATCTGGCTGCAAGAACCGTGGAAGCACATCAAGACTCAACATGCAATTCCCAGCTGGAGCACCAGGAGCTCCGGTCACGGAAGAGCAAGGAGGGCACCTTTCCCACCTGGTAGTGGATCATCACGTGGGTCACATGCGGTTTCCGATCCCCGCTCTCCATCTTGTCCTCATTTGTCAGCACCGACAACACAAAGTCTCCTGGTTTGCTCTGACTCTCCCGCACGAGGAAGCTACCTGGTTTTCCCTTCTCCGTCAGGAGCTTCTCTGCTTCCTTGCCGGTGAGATGCCCATGGTACCACCTGGGGAGCAGGCGTGGAGAGCAAGGTCAGCTTGGAAATGCTCTGAGCATGTGTCCATTTGCTTTTTGCTGCAAAAGCAGATCTGCTGCATGCAGGGTGCCTCCCCACCGCTCCAGCCCTGCCCATAAGCTGCAGCTCTGGCAGATGGTGATGACAACGTGCTTGGCACAGAGCCTGGCAGGCTGTCCTGGGAAAGGCTGGGAAGGCCCCAAAGGGGCCTTTGCTGTGAAATCCTCTTCCTTCTCCCCAAAAATAGGACTGGATCGGTGGCTACCCCACCACCTTCCCCCCAGGAGCCCCCCATACCGCTCAGGAACAGCCCTGTGCTCCTGGAGGTCCTGCAGCCAAGGAGGAAAGTGTTGAAGAGGAACAATCAGGAACAAGAACCTCATAATCTAACACACTGCTACAGCCTTCCATAGGGATAAATAATATCATGGAGTGAAGCAAGGATTTTTTTTTTGTTTTATTTTTTTTTGCCTTGGAGCTTTCAGTCCCCACGCTCCGACCCTCGGCGGTGGCTCTGAGCAGGTAGATGCTGGCTCCCGGCTTACCAAGAAAGCTGACAAGAATTCAAAGGGGCTCAAAATGTTATTCCAGAGACAAGGAAATGGCACATGTAACATCTCAGCAACTTCTGCAAGAGGGTGAAGTTCACAGAACAGCAGCCAGTGATGCAGGGCCTTTCAAAGGAGGTCAAAGGAGGACCTCTAAAGAACAAAATCGCTTTCTGCAGGCCTGGGAAGGCTCCAGAATCACCGATCTGTGAGTTTTGCTGCTACAGGGAGCAGGACAGGCAAGCTCTGCTGATGTACATCTGCTGACGGTGGCTGCTGCTCAGCCTCAGGTCTCAGGAGCTATCCTGACGCATCCTGCTATATTCAGAAACCACCGTCATTTCATTTATTTAGAGGACTTGGACCCTTTTTGCATTTCCCTTCTCCCCGATGCCGCTAGATGTGTGGTCTGGAAGAACAGCCCTTAGGGAGCTGACTTGCCAAACCCAACTTTCCTTGGCGGGAGCAGAGGGGGAAACCCAGCAGAAGGGGCTTTCCGCTTCTCCAGAGCTGCTGCCGATGCCAGCGGCTGTTGTCCACTTTTCACACCAGTCCAGGACGAGCAAAGAAACCCTCCTGACGGCGCCGGAGCACATGAGCCGCGGGGACTTCCCGGCCCCTCCGCGGGCCAGCTCGGAAGGAGCCTCTCCGCTCCATTTCGGGAAGCGGGACTTATCCTGGCGGCTAAAGTTAGAGTAATTAGGGTCCCTGCATGGCATTGCCACCCGCCTGCCGTTTCTGCTTCCGCAGTGGCACCGCAGCATGTGACACCGGAGAAACTAGGGGGAGGAAAGGGGGGAAAGAAGTGTCACTGAAGTGTCACGAATGAAGGAGTGACACAAAGATCACTAATGGGCCGAGGAGAACATCCCGAGCCAGAAGTGAGCTGCATTTTCCAGGGAGAGACATCCCCGTCTCTGCAAGACAACAGGGTGTCACCATAGGTACAAACAGCAGCAGCAGACTTAGATGGGGTGGAGAAAGACTTTTTTTTTCAGTAATTTGAACAGAAAGCACATGCATTTAGCATCTTTTAAAACCAAGCCATATACCTAATAGACTCCAGCTCAGGACTCTGTATGCACAGGGACTTGTGCTGCTTGTGCTCCAAGCTTCCTGCAAGCTACATAAGCTCATTAGCACGTGGTTACATTGCACCTCACTGTTTCCTGACCAGCTTCTGTTTGCCTCCAGTAGAGCAATAAGAAAAATATCCTAGAGATGTGCAGCTTTCGGACCACAGAAGTTAAATCGCCCCAAACCACACCGTTTTGGGCAGAACTAGGTATAGCGGTGGGGTCCGAAGCAGCTCAGAGGGCAGCATCACCATGTAGATGGTCACCATCCTCAGGAGTGGCTGCTGGATTTTACCTTTCCGAGGTGGGATCCTGGCAGTTCAGAGGGTATTTGAGCTCGATGACGTTGCTGTTCTTCTCCCTGAGCAGGCCCTGCTGCTCCGTGTAGTACTGCACCAGCTCTGCAAGGGTGGCAAACTTCTCCCCGCCGTACAGGTCATAGTAATCGCCCGTGTTCTGGATCTTAATGTGCGTAACCTCATTGTTCCTCCTGGGGAAACGGAGCAAACACAACGGTGTAAGCGCAAGGGAACATGAACCAGGAGAAATGCGGTCCCAGCTGCATCCAGAGCAATACCTACCTCCTCAAATGACACCAGGCAATCTCCATTAATCAGATGCTGCTCCTGCTAACTGCACTTTTACAGGTAGGGGTGGGTATGGAAACTCCTTGGCCAAGGCTATGTAGCCAAGACTTGACTCTAGCCTCTTAGACCCCCAGTCTCAGAGATAGAGATGAATAATTCATTCTTTGCCACCCCCTTCACTTCCCAAAGCACTTGTCCCCTTGGCCAGATGAGGCCGTGACCTCACTCTGCTTTATGGCAAACCCTCTTCCTCACACAGGAGCACTTACTATCCACCTAATTAGACTGAAAAACAGCAGTCTTCCAAATCAATATGTTGCCGAGCATTCACCAGTCTGTTTTCTCTCCTTTATAAACAGTGTAGAAAGGATTAATGCATTCCCTACTTCCCTCCCAAGCCAGAAGGGTCCACGGATGGGACATCTAGGACGTCTATCTGCTCGCTCCAGCATCCCTGGTGCTCCTGCAGAGCCCATCCTCCCTCCGCAGAAGGCACGCCGGCCTTTCCAAGAGGTGGCTTAATGGCATTTTAAATGCACTTAGCAGCAGCCCCCCCGAGCTGGGAGATGGGGATGGGAGCCCGTTGCTTGATGGATGAGCTGGGTCAGGCACGGATTTGTAAATCTGGTAAGGAAAGGAGAAATGTGCCCATGCTGAGCTGCTCGCAGCCTCTTGCTCTTTGTTGCCAAAGCAACCGCGGCAGCGGGATACGGGATGCTCGGGGTGGTACTGGCAGCGCATCAGCTCGGGCGAGAACAACCATCCTGGAGAGCACGAACTGAGAAAGGCTGCAGCAGTCTGTGCATAGGGTTAAACAGAAGGAGGAGCTAGACCCAAAGCAGAGCCTCTGGGGCTCTCCCTTTTGCTATTTTTCCACACAGGGGACACCCTTGTGACAAGACAGTCTAACACGAGCCTGGATTGCTGGGTGGCATTGGGTATCTGGTCCCTGCTCTGCAAAACCATCTGCTCAAGAGGACCTTGCGGATGTGGACCCAGTAATTCCAGTCTGTGCTTATGCTGTGGTTCTTGGGCTGACTCGAGCAGGACATTGGAGTGATTGCAAATTAGCACTAATTCAGCAGAACCCACCAGAGCGCAAACAGCCAGACAGCACCCACGGTGTCACCATCACCATGCATTAGTAAGCTGCAAAACAGGCCGGAGCGGCAAAATCTGCATCCACATCTCCAATATTCACCGTACGCTTTGACAGAAAGGTCTCAGAAACAGAACTCAGCTGTACAGAGCAGGGAAGCTGCCGTGAGTGGCACTCTGGAGGATTTAGTGAGACACGGATAACTTCTCCTGCTACATATGTCAAACGCAGTTCAAATCTCTCCTGCCACATCAATTCCAGTTGTTTTATGAGCAGGGACTTCAGCGAGCCATGTCTGCATCCAGGATGTGCACAGAACTCCTTGCAAGGAAACTGGCTGTGGAATCCAGGTCTGCTCTGGGCTCTGCTGACAGGGTCTCCTCTCCAGGAGGAGTTGGCACATGAAGAGCTCCGGCCATTCGCGCCAGCAGCTGGACACGAAGAGTCTTTGTGCAGCACAGACGGCACCAGACACAGACTTGGGTTTTGCCATTTGGCCAGAGGCTCAAAAGTTCCCTTCTTTGTACAGCTCATCCCATTGCAGCCCCATTAAAGGACTACAAAGACTCAGTTCACAGAGCTTCCCCCCTCGGCAAAGGCCTTCAGGCACTTCAGGAATGAAAAGCAAAGAGAAAAATCAGGGTCATTTATGCCATGAGCCCTCGAGGTCAAGCTCAGCACAAAGGCCATTGATCTGCTCCCGTTTCCCTCCATTTCTTCTCCTAAAATTTGCGTCAACCCAACAGCTCTAAAGTGGATCCCACAGTAACAGCATCCACAAAACAGTGTCCTCGGGAAAGAAAGCACAAGGGAGATGCCTGAATATTCAGCTGCTTTGTGCTGGAAGGCTCGGCTACCCACTAAGAGACACACAGCTCTTGTACAGGGACACAGCACTATATCCAGGAGATGTTCTAGATCTGAAGTGTTCCAGGTGGGGAATGTGAATCTGACAGTTTTAGCCCATACCACTTCATCCCACAGTATAGATGCAAACTACTATTCTTTGCAAGGGAGTACCATTGACAAGAAAACTTGAAAACTGACTTCAGTGAACAGAACTGCTTTAAATATCAGGAATCTACCTGTCTGTTGCATGCCCCAAAGTTTTTTTGGTTGTGTGCTTTTTCTTCCTGCATCAGAGACAGAAAACCTAGAACCTTGCAGCATGTATGTGTGACTCCTTCTGACAAGCTGCAAAAACCAACCCCCAAACCCCCAAATGTTCTCTATGCAAAACAGGAAGAGCCTCCCACAGAGTTTAGCATCTTGGCTGAATATTTGGTTTCAATTAAATAGTGGTTTGGGCTCACAGAGAAAATTTACTAACCACCAATAACCAACAAAACAAAAATCAATTGACATTTGCATGCATTTTCAGAGGTACGGCCAGGAGAACTCTAGGGATCAAAAGGGGTTTCAAACACTTCATGCCATGGACTATGGCTAGATATCAACTTAAATTCATGACCGGCAGCATGAAGCGAGTCAGCTTGCTGCCCGAGCCTGACTACTCAGCTAAACTGTGCGAAATAGAGCAGTTATTTCAGTTGCAAGCCCAATGATTGAAGGGATCTGAAGCCTAGAACGCTGGCTCAGCCATGCAGCATCGCTCCTGCGCTCACCCAGATGCTTGCAGCCTATGATCTCTGTCTAGAGACGGATTTCTCTGGGATGGGAGCCAAGCATCACCTGCTCTCATGTTTCATCTCATAGAGACTAGAGCATCTCTTTCTACACCACATCATCCCTTCCCTTCTCATTTTCCAGCAAGGTAACTGTGGAGTCTTCATTTTTCCCCAGCTCTAACATGAAGTCAGTGCTTCCTTAGCTGGCCTAGCTTGGAAAAGGCAGCACTGGGATCTGTCTCTCATCCTGTATTTGTATCACACCACAAAGCCTTAATAGGGCTGGTGCTATTTTGATGAGACACAAGGACAATTGCTTTGGAAAAGAGCCTCTTCCAAGACTTTGGTTCTTTTCCAGACCCAACTTTCTTCCTTCATCCCATCTGTATTGTATGCAGGCAGCAACTCAAACACTGCAACACATCTATGGTATTGATCTGCTCCTTTTAGCAGGGTATATATTTTATAGGACATAAAATCCTGCTCACTTACATGTCTCACCCTGCACACAGAGAGCATTTGGGTGGCCTTCTGCATAAAAATGGGAGAGAAAGTCCAGCTAAGAACAGGGAAGCCACCCTGGAGCAGAGTGAAGCTCTCAGGCAAGATTTTATTATCCAGAAGTACTTTGTATTGTATCCCATAGACCACAACAAGATGTGTTCCCATAAATCGTGACCGAGTTACCAAGTACACAAGGGTCTCTAATAGATAGTTCTCACTGTCTTAGCACTTGCATTAGTCCTGTGTCAACAGGCCAAGACCCACTCAGGCGAATTTTCAACTTGCCTTTTCCTTTTGTTCAGGGTATTTACCCAGACCTGGCCAAACCTGTAGGAAGCTGCTCACTTTCCTCATAAGCGATTCTAAATATTTGGTCTTCAGAAAACGTTCTCTGGCAGATCCAGGCATGCACTGAAGACCTGACACATGGGACCAAAAACACCCTGACTGACAGGATCTGCTCGCAGCCTCCAGAACAGCTTCCAGAGCAATCTACAAGCCCAGGCCCACGTTATATCCATCTCGCTCCATCATCATTACCCTTCAGTTGAAGTTGCCAAACCATTTTCCTTCCTGTATCCCTATTAATGTGCTCCACATGTTTGCTGGAGTGTCCAGAAAATGGGATGAAACCAGCCAATAGATCCAAATTAAGCAGCCAGAATTGACACGCCAACGTCACACCAAACAAAGACTCTTTAAAACACAGCCCTTGGCGCTGGATATTACTCATCCCTTCACCATATTATGTCCTCTCCATGCAGGCTGCCTCTTTTTCTTAAGGGCTAGAACCCACCAAAACCCTGGGAAGGTATTTGCTGCAATGGCAAAGGACAAAATGGTACGCAAAAGGGAAGAGAAAAAAGGAAAGCAGACACCCTCTTTTGTGGAAACTTTCTCATAACTTCTACAATATTATTTTCTAGCTCCTCCTTAGAGACGCATCTGGATGTGCACCAGCACGCAGGTCACTTGGTGTGTGGTCTCATAAGCCAAAAATCCATCTCCGGCTTTATTTTCAGCCCACATCCTCCCTGCAATTAAATGGAGCTGCCTTTTCCCTCCCTGGGATTCAACCATCCCTGAAGGAGCTGAAAGGGGTTTGGGAAGAGGGGGAAGAGGCATCGGCTGTTTTTTCCTAGGGGTGTTTTCTCCCAGACACCTCTGGGTGCTTTTTTAAAGGATATCCTTTTTCCTCGTGTTGAATTCACGATGCCCCAAAACTCAGTGCTTGGTCTCATAGCCCTCCTTTCGTGAGAGCTGGTCAGACTTCTCATTGGACTCAAAACATGCCAGTGGGTTGTGGTGGAATGGTTAATAATATGACATTAAGGTAATATCCATGCATTAATAGCATTAGTTGGCTTGAGCTTATGATGAAAACAATATTGTTGTTGAACATTTACTGCAGCACAAAGGTGTCCCTGGAGTCCAAGTGCCACAAGGAAAGGCATAAAGAAGTAATGACAATAAAGCAGTGCTTTGGGGACATCTTGGCTAGCAGTAGTTGTTTCACAGTAGCCGTTTCACACATCTCTCCTCACTGTCATCACTTGCTCGAGGCAGCTCTGGGTGACTAAGTCTATTTTCCACTCTAATTAGACAGTGTTTCCTGTCTCTCTCATTAACTCCCAGCCACTTCTGGCTGCGAGATTACGGGTGAGCTAACGAAGGCGCATCCGAGCGCTCCCCACCTTGCCAGCACACAGGAAAAGAGGGAAGAGGATCCCAGGGATGGAGCGAGGCGCAGGCACGGCCTGTGCTGCTCCCATCCTGCCAGGTGGGAACACTCCGTCCCGGCTGTTATTTGCACAGAGCTTCTCTAAACACGCTGTAGGTAAAAGGATGTATAAACTCAATGGAGTTTCCTAAACAAAGTGAGGGTTGTTTAAAGTAAAAGTGCCTAGAGGAGCCGTTGAGGGTGTGTTTTGCTCCAAGACACCAAACAGGAGGCTCTTGTTGTTGTTGGAGGAGGTCAAAGCACTGCATGGACCACAAAACCTCCCCTTTTTATCTCGGGACCCAGTGGTCAACGCTGCTCTGCCCCTTCCCTTAGTCACCTTCAGAGTGTTGCACCCTCTGCATCTGCTCCACTGTATCCACTAAATTGCAACCAACCTTTCCACAGTTGGTCCCAAAAGAACGCTTTAAAGATGATGCATGTGATGCTGCCCAGAAGCTCAGCACATATATAACTATATATAACTATATAACCAAAGCAGAGGATGCTGCAAAGGCCAGGCCAGCACCTTCCTCCAATACTTGTAGCTTCTGCCTGCTTACCTGACGGAGAGGGTGAAGTCTCCTGGGTTGCTCTTACTGGGCCGAGCCAGAAAGCTGCCATGGACCCCCCTGGTCAGCAGCAGCTTCTCTGCCTCGATTCCACTGATGTTGGGATGAAACCACCTGCAAAGGACAAACGTGACAGGTGAAGGAGCAGCACGGCCGGGCCCGCGGATGCGATCTTCCTCCTCGCAAAGCAGCAGTGCTATCAGCATCCATACGTTATGATGCATGCGCTAGCAGGACACGCTACAGAAGGGAAGAAGAGACAGCTCGCCCTGAGGGGAAAAGGGTTTCATCACCCTGTAAGCCACTTTAATGCAATCTTCATGTTTTAAGTGTCATCAAACCTTCTACTGACCTCATTTCTGATGCTATCAGCTTTGATCGAGTTCTCTTGATGGAATCACAAGAACCGGTGTTTCCACAGGCTTTAATGTGTGCTACGTATGCAACGATTCTACGGCTTGATTTTTCAGAAACCACTGGAAAATTCTGTTTCTTTTTTCTTTTTCTCTTCTTTCCTCCCTCTTGAAGCCCTTTTAAGTACCCAAGTGACACTCAGAGCACTCCAAGCTGACAGGCACTCTGTTCAGAAGATATTCTTCAGTTTTAGCTCATGCTCCAGCACATTTCTGCATAGGATTGCTGCAATATTTTTCCATGAGCAACAACAGAGAGGAAAAGACAAGCCACAACTAATTCTGTTATGATAATAAACGTAGCTCTCTGCGTGTTTTCCGGGCAGCACTAAGAGAAGCTGCTGCACTGGCTCAGAAGTCACCTCCGAGCGCAGGACCTAAGTTTCTGCATGACCCAGGGTCTGCTTTGCCACCCAGAACCAAGCGACTAAAACACAACCCTTCATTTGCAAACCTAGCTGGAAATATTTAGTAAGCCAGCCCGTTGCACACAGCTGTCCTGTAGATCAAGCTAATTCCCTCTGCTCACAAGGGGTTTGCAAGTTTATCTTGATTGCTGCAGAGAACCACGTAAGCGGCATCTTGCTGCGTGCCTGCCTTAGGAAGTGCTCCCAAAGATTAAGTTTACAAACATCTGCTCACGCACACTCCTTAGAGCCTGTTTGCTCCCGAGATACACATAGAAAAGGTCAAGAAACATATAATCTCCTGCAGAATTTGGGATTTCCTCTCTCCCACCACAAGGCAAACAGTTTGGATTAAAGATCCTTGGGTACTGAAGGAGTAGAGCTCTGCTAGGAAAGGGCCATAGAAACAGATGGTAAACAGGAATTGCAGCATTTCCAAGACTTGTGTTCCTGACATCACAAGAGTGACACCGTTTTATAAATCCACCAGGTGCAGGGCCAGCACTTAAATGCTCCATCAAACTGCTATTGCCAGAGGAATGAATTCCTCTAATGGAGCTTAATGAAGCCCAGGGACAAGGCAGAGCTGCCAAAGGCCATGCATAATGTTTGCACCAAATGCCTAATGGCAATAAAAACAGGGCAATATTGCTAAATAGCATGTAGTGGGGAAAAGCCTAGGGAAACATCTGTGGAAATGGTGGGATAAGAGCCCTCGTGGACACATCCCCATAGGCACAAGCACATCCTGGTCACCTGGAGCATCTTTCAGTGCCCAAGGGACCCGGAGGAAGGACCTTCCGCCAAACATCCCTCCAAAAGAAAGGATAGCAGTTTGGAAAGGGAATTGGCTTCCACTTGGGAATTCCGGGACTGAAATGGAGCATCTTCCCCACGGAAGCTTTTCTGCCTGCACTATGCAAGTATTTAAAAACAAAACAAACAAAAAAAAGCAAAAAAGAGAAGTTTGAGCGCTCAACGCCTTGCGCAACTCGAGCGACACGTGATTTCAAACCCGCTGCTCCTATTCCGTGTATCCTGGCACCAGACTGTGCTCATCCCTTGCTCCTGTAAACAGTGAATTTAAAAAAAAAATAGCAAACCCAGCTAAAACAGGATCCAAAGCGCCTTCCTTTCTGCCACATCCTACTAACTCCATGTACACAGGGAGCTTGCCCTGCTGCAGAGCTCTCTGCTGCTTCATCCCATGAGTCACAACTGCCACTATATCTATTTTTCAATATAGCTTGTATCAATATAACTTATTTTGTTCCTGGCCTGGGTAAGCTATTTGCACAAAGCACCTTTAGAGCCATTTTTTGCTACAAGTTTTTGTTGAAGTGCAGCAGCTAGCACGCAAAAGCAACCCACACCAGAGCAGAGGAGAAGAAAGCACCAGCCCACGCATCCCTTTCTAGGGGAGGATGCTGAAACCTGCCCAGAGTCACAGAGAGTCCCCCCTGCATCGGAGGGACCTGCACCACTCATGAGCCCAACGCCTTCATTTGGACCCTGGGAACACGTGGATTCTTTCCAGGGAGTTCTGCAATACTCCAAGCGGAAAGCACGAGAAAAAGGGAACCGACAGCCTAGAAATAAATAAATAAAAATATAGTATCACGCCGTTTTTTCAATGACACTAAGCAACAAGGGTTACTGTGCAGGAGGTCATTTAGGCAACTGTTCAATTGTTGGTGCTTTTTGCAGAACTGAGTCACCCCCAAAGAATCACTTTAAATAAATAAGAGTGGGGAACTAACAACTTTTCATCTCTACTTCTACAAGTCGATATACACGGTCTGCTTCGGACAATGTTGCTTTTGTGCAAATAAATGAATTTTGTCTCTGTGGTCAGTCAGAAACTAAATTAAAAAAAAGAGAACATATACACACACAAAAAAACCCCTAAATATCTTCAAGTGCCATTAAGGCACACAGACCTATGCACAGAAATGCACTAAAATAAATAGCTAAAATAAGAGTTGCATGCAGCATGTTGCTACCACAGACTGGCAGAACTGTCAGGACAGCTTGGGCCCTGCATGGAGAGGGAAGGAGGGGGATGCAGCTGGGATGGGGATGAACAAGGCGGGAACGGGGCTCTGTTCCGATTGCACCTCGGTCTGACTAACGCATTCAAAAGCGGAAAGGAAGGTCTGATAACCACAAGAATGCCTGAAAGCGCTTTCTGAGAAGCCTGGAATGACTAAGGGGCTGTGGAAGTGACAACCACGGGCATGGTGATCACCCAACAGCACTTTCCTTGCAGGCAACCCTCCAAATCATCAGCCCAGCTCTTATTTTGCATCAGCTCTTGGACTCCCCATCGTAACCTCCACCAAGAGCCCTCACTGAGTGACTTCCCACCATGAGGAAAGCCTAGAAATGGTCCTGTTTTAGTCCAAGCAGATGATGCTACAGGTTGGACATGGGTGGAGTGGTTTCTCCAGTGGGGATTTGCTCCCTGACATAGGAGGACAAACCCTAGACAGATGCCAGCACCAGGACTTCCCCCACAAGGGCCCTGCAAGAAGGGCCAGCTGATGCAATGGTACAAACCCTTCCTCGTCCTGTGGCCACCGAGATAAGAAACGGGAGCAACACGACTCCCAGATCCAGGGAAATCGGATACAAGGAAGTCTGGTTGCAGAGGAGTTCCCCGGGCAGCAATAACATTCCAGCCAAAGCTCAGAAAAGGAAGCCTCCCCTGCAAGTTAAAAGTTATTTGATAATTTATCTTAATAAAAAGAGTTGTCCCTTCCATACAGTGTTACTCACTTCCTCTCTAAAACAAGCAGGAAATAATGAGCAGGAAATGCTGCTTTTATGTTTTTCCTGATGAAATTCATCCTTATGCCCTCATCTTGGGATAAAGCTTAACAGATGTCTGGACAACACTGCTGCACCCTCAGAAATCTATAAAATATGACATTTTTAAAAGGTTAGCTGTAACTGGTGATATACTTTAAACATGGAGAGCCCCGGACAGCAGCAGAGAATTAAAATTAATTGTCAGAGCTCTTTGGAAGAGCAAAATGTCCCTTCACTCTACAGCAGGGCTACTTTAGGCTTTGAGATGTTTTCCTAAGGAATTATTAGCGTTCTCATCGTCATTGAAAGTCGTTCAGCACAGGCACGTCTGCATATAAAGCGTTTCTCAGACCTGACGGAGCTGCAGCCTCCCCTTTGCTGTCTCAATTCAAAGCTCATCACAAGGCTCATTATACCAAGCCCAACCTCAAGGGAATGTGTTAAATAAATATACCCTGAAATTCGACTCAATTCTAGATACAGGTAAATATTTCCATTCTCCTACAGCAATTAGCATCACAACTGCTAACTGTGCCAGTGCAAAACATCCCAAATCCCCCAAGACTTCCGTGAACAACTTTAAAACAAAACAAATAAAAATCTTAATATGTTTCTAAGCCAGCATATCCATTTCCACAGCAGGCATACAAGCCTGCATTGAATCCCCTGGGGTTCAATCCACTTCTGTAGTAATCTGCTTGTTTCCTGGATATTTTCACTGAGCACTTTCCTAATGCATCTCACTCAGGTGCAAATGGTTAATTGCTTTTTCCAAAAAGATGCCTGCTCAATTCTCACCAAATTCCTGTACGATCCCGATTCCTTTCACCCTTTTGAGGGAGTCCCACGTTTGCGCACACCACAATCCCATCACTAGCACAGACAAAAACCATCTCAAAGCAAACGGGGTGTTTACACAGAGCCTGGCCTGCTTCCATAGGCACGGCTGTTTACTCCCACTTTTAAAAACAAGAAACAGCAGAAGCAATAGGAAAGAACAGGAAAAAAAAACCCAGCTCATTTCAGGAGGGGCAGGTCCAGTTAGGTCTTTCCCTCCTGCTCCATTCTCAGTGCCCGGCTTAATTAAGGTGGTTTCTAAAAAGGCATTTGCACGGGATCAGCATCATCTTAAAAAGCTCATTAATCCCCATCTCTTACATTCAGGAGGGTGAGGACTTGGTTAATGGCCATCCCTTTATTAAGAGAGCGTAGTCCCAAGGCAAGGACAGTGTTTTCTTATTGCAGCCTCTGGATGGATGTGCCCATCAAGAGAATGTCCTCAGCCCACTTGTCTTCTGCCACTAACGTTTGTGCAAATTGGGCATGAATGGAAATGGAAACCTCAACCTCAATGGAAACCTCAGCCTATATCTATGAGTTAATGACCTCCATGGAAGGCAGAAAACTTTAGCACAAGTAAATATATATATCAGACCAGCCTGGAGGATGGTATGTGGTTCAAGAGACCTGGAAAGGACTCAGA